TCAGCTGTGTTAAGTTGTCTGAACAAACTTAGATTATTGAGATACACAATATACAACTGTATGTGATTAAGTGCAGACTAGCTTGATAAAGGTGAATTTTTGTTTCAACAGATTTGATGGTGTCTCAGCTCTAGATGTATTCAGAATCATCGCCCCAGACGTGGTGGTCATAGTTGTATCTATAACATGTGTCGTGTGTTGCCGAGGGCTAGTGGATTCCTCTGCTCTACACTCAACAACACCACAGCATATAAGAATTTCATCGGACTCATCCTCGTGGGACAATGTGATGCCATATTTTATTGCTGTTATGTTACTTGCTGGTGGAATAATGCTGCCATCTCTAGCCTCTGCAATATACTTTACAATGTTCCTGATCTTGGGAACAATGTGGGCATGCCATAAGGCAGTTAGATTACGACGAAAGACAGCATTTGCTTCTGTTAGACTTGCTCTGATGTTTTACTCTGGTCTGCATGTTCTGACCTTCTACATGTACCAGTTTCAATTTTTTCAAAAGGCTCTTCCACCTGAAAGTTTACTTGCCAGGTGAGATAATTTAGACACCCACAATAACCTGCAAGCTCTTTCAGAGGCCCTGAAACTTGGCTGTTAACACTCACCAAGCCAAATCAAAGCCATCTAGGTCTGGTCTACAATTATGAAAAAACAATCATAAGGTTCTTATAAATGGATACTGTACTCTTTACTTCGTGAAGTGATTAACAGGTAACATCTCCTTAAAATATCTTTACATTTTCCAGAAAATAAGTGATAAGAATGGTCAAAATTATCAGGTAGAAGTTGTTATCTTGTTCTTTGGGTGTAACACCAAATTCTCATCACCACATGTAATTTACAAGGAAGTATTAAGTAGCTAGAGGGGAAATTTAACAATCAGATCGTGAAAGTTAAGGGCGCCATAAATTGGTCTGTAATTTTGATAACAACTTGTTATGAAATAAATTCCATTTGGCCCTGGGATGATAGTCAAGCAAAGAAATGGGCCTCACAGATCAACTGCAATTTAACCCTTTAACTTCCAAGATCTGATTGTTAATTCTCCCCTCTGGCTGCTACACATTTCCTTTCAACTTTATATATGGAGAATTTGGTGTTACATCAAGACAGCAACTGCTATCTGATAAGTTGTATCCACAATTGCATTTATAGCTGAAACTGAATGCAGCTTGGGGATTGCTGCATCAAAAAGTTGCAGATAATTGCAATGAGAGGGTATCATATTAGGGATAGGGAATGTCCATCATAAACAGAATGTTATAAACTGTCTGGGCATTGTGTCTCATTTTTCAGGTTTAAATGGAGACTTTAGCATAATGCCTACTGGCACCCTTACAACTGAGATTGTTCAGACTGTTTTGTTAGCTTTTTTTAGTATTATTATCTCATATTTTCCCAATGCCCTATTGAGTGCCCTGGTGAAAATCCTGTTCAGAATCCTGTCCAAGATCTTGATAGGATCCTTACTAGGATCTTGCCTGAAATCCTATTCAGGATCTTGTACAAGATCCTGTAGGATCCTGTAGGATCTTGTACAAGATCCAATAGGATCCTATAGGATCCTGTAATATCTTGTACAAGAGCCTATAGGATCCTATAGGATCCTGTAATATCTTGTACAAGATCCTATAGGATCCTGTAGGATCTTGTAGAAGATCCTATAGGATCCTGTAGGATCTTGTACAGGATCCTACAGGATCTTGTAGAAGATCCTATAGTATCCTATAGGATCTTGTAGGATCTTGCACAAGATCCTATAGTATCCTATAGGATCTTGTAGAATCTTGCACAAGATCCTATAGTATCCTATAGGATCTTGTAGGATCTTGCACAAGATCCTATTGTGATGAAACAGAATCCTGTACAACATCCTAAAGATTCTCTAGGATCCTGCATAAGATCCTATAAGCAATAATCACAGGGCCGAGTCTGAGTGAGAGTAATAATTAAAATTCAAGATGGGAGTCAAAGGTTAGGGTAAAATAAAATTGATTTTGTATCACACAGATGTATGAGGCACTTTCACGGTAAAGATTCATTTGTTGTTCATTGAGGGTTACAGTCTTAGGATTACAGTTAGGGTTATTTTAATTACATGCTTTAAAGTTAGAGTTGTATCATTTACATGCTAATTTATAATTTAATGGAATTTACTTTTTAAGTTATTTAATCACTGTGCAGATAGACCTGAGTCAGTTGATTTTATATATGAAACAGTAGTGTAAATGCAATCCATGTGGGAGAGTTTTAGTGGTTACACAAGACATGCTCAGTAGTGTTGATTAAACTGCGCATGTGCATTTCTAGTTTACAATAAAAACGTGGTGTAATAGTCACAAAAAATACCGAATATATTTAAAAATAGGAACTTTATTTATAACTAATTCACTCCACTAGAATACACAGAAAATAATATAAATTACAATTAAGGTTAACAATTTATCTGCTGTGACTTTAGTCTTTAATGTTCCTGTTGTCGGATTCTTGTAATTTCTCCTTCCATTTTCTACAATCAGCACAATCACACGGATTAGGCTTCAAAGATTTCTTGTAATAATATCTTACAAATGCCAAAAAAGCTTCCATGACGTGCGCTCGTAATTTTTCTTCTTCATCTATTTCCTTTAGTCCTGCTATGTANTCTATTTTGGGCAAAAAAATTTTTCTGAGTCAGGACCAAAACATACTTAACCCATAAAATTAAATTCTATTGATTTTGTAATTACTCATCAACACTTAATTATAAATAGCTGCAATTTTTTATCATTGAAGGAAAAGAAAGGATTTGCATGAAACTAATAACTGATACAGGTTTGTGTTTACAACTGTTTGTTGTTCACTTCTGTTCTGTAGGCTCTTATGGTGGGGCGCCAAACCAACTACAATACTTTGGGGCCTGTTCATGAGAACATAGTCACTGAGGAGCCAATTCAACCAATTCAAGAACCTTATGAGTACCCAGGAGTGCAGGGAACACTGGGAAGCATCATGATGTTTCTCATGAGACAAAGCTACATTGCAGCTCTTATCATTATGATGGTAACCTCCAATCGTAGTTTGACTTCTGTGTAGTGATTCTTATGTGTATTTTTTTTTTGCTATGTCTTTTCTTTTTTAAATTTTAGCCAAGATTCTATCAAGTTAGTAGTTTCTAAAGGAAACTGTTTTCCTGCTTGGTGGACAAGTGGTAGACATGTGTGACACTTTAAATCAGGTCAACACGTACTCAGGCAAAAATTGCTATAAGCTGAAGTACTTAGCAGTAGTCTTTCTTTTAGGTAAATTTAGTGTTACCCTGAGATCACATGCAAGTATTTCTTATGTTGATGCTTAAATGGAACAGGGGACTCTCTATTTAAGAGTGGGGAGGGTGGAGAAGAAAAAAAAGGGCCTATGGGAAGTTGAATCCCTATCAGAGCGAGGAGGTTGTGACATTGTCAAGATCGTCACTTAAGATAATGATTTTTTGCAATCTGATGGTAAGAAATTGTATTGAATATGCCGTATGTATTTTGTTCCCCTCAAGAGTGTACTCTGCAGTAACTTTTGGTTTTTTAGGAGAGTTTAAATGGTAGTATAAGAGGGGTGTGATTGCATCATTGTAAGCAATGCACATTTTGATTTTTTGATTTGTTTGTTTTTTGTTGAAAGGCTTGGAGTATTACTTACCATTCTTGGTTGACATTTGTCCTCTTATTGTGGGCGTGTCTGATCTGGATCACCCCATTTGCTCGTTGGTTTTGTATGGTGTCATCACCTGGACTTGTCATCTATGCTGAGTTACTTCTCCTTGTACAATATGTGTATGGCCTTCAGCTCACTAATGATGAGCTGCCACTTCAAGATCCTACAGGAACATTCGATTATTCTGAACTTGGGCTGAAGAAGTGGGAATTCCCATGTTTACACCTTGGTGCTCAGGCAAGAAATTCCCTTTAAGTATAGGCATCATTTAAAGTTGAATTTAACTTACTTCATTTTGAATAAAAAGCTAATAAATTCTAGTACGGGTATGTCTTGAGAGTGCAGCTTATCAAAGATAATATCAAAAGGCATTGAGAACCAAAAAAGTGGCCCAGGAGCCATCTTCTCTGATCTATAACTTGCCTTACATCCTGCAAATTAAACAGACAGCTATGGTACATGTATCTCTCACAATTACATATACTAAGTTTCGCTGCATTCACAGGAGTGGTTGGTTTTATATATTTTTGCTTTATTGTTGGTGAAGATCAATATCATACAGCTATTTTAGTTTAGAAATACAGTTCAATAAATGGCTACTTATCCGTTGTGGCAATTGAAGCAATCATTTTAACCTGCCACGTTTCAGCTCTAGTTAAACTCTTTGTTTTTGTTTGTTTTGCAAAGGTTTTTCCTCTCAGCGCTCTATCTGCACTGCACAGTTTAACAGTTGAAGCACTATTGCATAACATTCTTGCCTTTATTTGAAAGTGGGTTTCAACTGCAGTTTATTTTCATGTTCCTCAGACTCTCTTCACCTGGGTGTTCTGGGTGACGTTAAGACAGCATATCAGAGAGAAGAAACTGAAGAGAAGGGAAAGAGAAAATGAAGAATCTATGCCACTGAGAAACCTGGCTCATCCATTTTTGAGGGCACTTCGGAAGATGTGTAAGTACATTGAACTTAAAAAAAAGATAAAATGGAAACTAAGTTGAAATTGAAAAAAAAAGTGTATCACTGAATGAAGCTTTATCTTGGATGGAACATTTTATATCATTACAGCTTACTTATTACAACCGTTAGTGGTAATAAGACAACATAAAGTAAAACTAATTTATACATTAAAAGCACTGGACAATCTTCACATTAAATGCCAATCTAAAAACACGAGTTCCTAGGCAAGACATAAATCTGCTAAATAAATTAAATGTTTTCTTCCATATTTTAGCTTAAGTTTAAACTTTTTAACAAATAGTGTTTGTCAGTAACTAAGTAAACATAGTCTCCAAACACTTTTGAGATTCTCATAAACATCAGAGTTGAGTTATTACCACTCTCAGCTCATATTAAATAAAATTATAATAACTATTAATAACTTTTTCTCCTAAAAACTTAAAATTCTGTTTGGTTGTTTTTCTAAAGCCTCCATGGAGCCATTATCCTCCTCAGGTAAAGTTTAAATGAATGAATCAAATTTAACCCAGTATTATTACAATTTTATGGTATTAATCAACCAACCATTATCTTATGTCTAAAGTTTAATTATCCCCCTATTAGAGAGAAACAAGTTAATGAGTAAATACATGAAATAAATGAATTGATAATAAAATTAATTAAACCCTAAAATTAATCAATAAAATAATTGATACTTGCCCTTTAACTTTTGCAAAATTCTCTGTGATGGCAATCAATATTTATGATAACTGTACTTGTTTAAATTTATGTGCACAACTAACCTTATCAGTGTAAATTTAAAGACCTAATTTAATTTGGTTTATGTGCAAGCACACTTGTTTCTTTCATTTCTTATCGTACAATTTTGTGATAAATTAAAAAAAGTTGTAAAAGCATGATGTTTGTTCACCTTTTGAGTATTTTGGCACTGCTCTTGTTTTTGATACATATCAACATAAAATCAAGAACTTATTATTCTTGAAGAGTGACTGAAGATAATTTGTTGACTACCCTTGTAATAAAACTCACAACATAATTTTTATCTTTCCTAAACTGAACTGAATCGAGGAACATTTTCATATTTTGCACCTCTGTCAATTTGGCTTCTTCACTCCTCTTTTTTTTTTTTTTTTTCGATTAACAAAGCAACATTTTCATGCATTTGCATGTAATCTGGCAGGTGTATTGAATGCTAGATATGATAGAGTGACATTAATCAGCAGTTTTTCCAATTATTGATGTGGATCCAAAAATTTCTCTTTAAGCTGATGGTTCGGAGGATGGTCACTCTTTGGATCCTAAAGCATCTGACGATGCCAAAGCACTCATGATGTGGGTTAAATCAGTGCTCGCAAAGTACTGGATTCTACTATGCTGTGGTGCATTCCTATTGGTTGGTTTGCAGAATGAGGTGTCAGTCTATCAGATTGGATATATGGCAATATTCCTCTTCATATTAATTTGTTATCAGGTGATTATTAAAAACTAGATCATTGGATAATGCAATTCAAGACTTTTTATTGGCTTAGCCATTATGGTATATCAGCCAATGTATCATAATCTACAAATATGGTAAGCGTACATATCAGCTTAAAATTAAAAGGGAGCTAAAAATTTAATAAAATTTAATAATTTAAGTTAACATTTTTAATAAAACAATTATTCCACTCGCGCTTGTTGGATATGATATGATTATAGCCAACTTGGCGTTACGCACCTCGTTGGCTACCTATCATCTCATATCCAACGCACGCTCGTGGAATAATTGTTAAATGGACCATACATATCAATTATTTTTCAGAATAAGAAATAGTTTATTTGTATCTTAATGCAAACCTCCCACATTACCCTACTTTGTATTTAAAAGCTGTTTCAAGACGTAGTTTGTAACACTTTCTTTTGGTTTGTATCATAAAAAATCTTTTACTTAGATCTAAATCTTAAGTTCATGTAATTAGCAATGCTGAGTGCACTTGGAATTGTCCTGCAGTGGAGCTCAGAAAAACAGCGAAAAGCCGAAAGAGGCTTTGAAGGGACTAAAAGTGTTTCCACTCGATGCTTTGCCGGAGGCAAAATGGAGGCACAAGGGCAAATACTAGAATCGGTGACCAATTATGCCTGTTACCCTAGAAAATTCTATCAGCCCAAAAAACATTTTTGGGTTTCATACAGATGTCTTTACAATACAGTTCATCTTAGCTACTGTACATACAGTATGTAATATGATGTCCCAGTTGTGCAGCACAGTACTCCCATTGGAAGCCTGGAGATGAAAAGTGTCGTTTTATAAATATGGATGAAGTTTATTCTTGGTTTAAATCATGCTATTCTTTGTTAGTGGGTGTGGTAGGGTACGAGAAAAAGTCTGAAATAAGGAAAGTTTAATTTAAACCACAGATGACTTTGCACCTCTAAGTAATCAGGTAATATGAAATATTCAATGTATATATGCGTGTTACCCTGCCTGTTACATTGTATCTGATTTATCATCACGGGTTTATTACGAATCAACTTAACGGCCTGCTCCCAGTTGGCTTGTTAGCTCAATTGGTAGAGTGCTGCACTAGTATCGCAGAGGTCAGTGGTTCGAATCCCGTACAGGCCTGATTTTTTTTTTTTTTTTTTTTTTTTCAGGTCTGATTTTTGCTATTGCATAAATAGCGCTCTCTACTGTGAAAGATCGTGTATCATACGTAATATGAAATATTGTAAGAAATAGACAACTTTTTTGAGAGACATGTTTGGGCATGCTTATGCCATCTTCAATCAATAAGTAACAGAACGTGAGTAAATATATAACAGACAAGTAGATGAATAACATGTTTACAGTATGATGTAATACCAAAGGGAGTACTAATTACAACGTGACACCAAACGTCAAAGGTGTGAACTAAAACGCCAGAAAAGTGTTATATAATGCTGTAATTGTTTGTAAGTTCAGGTTTGATCTTATTTATATAAAAAGCTTTTTTGAGTTTTAAATCAATTGAGTTGTTAGCAGAATCCAGAATACTAAAGAAAGAAAGGGAGTATTTGTTCTTACAAGAAGGAGACGCGTTGAAGTGCTTAAAAATATTCGAGTTTTGGTGTCACGTTGTAAAAAGGGTATGTTAGGTTTGGTGTCACGTTGTAAAAAGGGTATGTGATGTTTGGTGTCACGTTGTAAAAAGGGTATGTGATGTTTGGTGTCACGTTGTAATTAGTACCCGCTTTTGTAGTACATCATACTGTAAATATTTTATTGATCTACTTGTCTGTTATATAATTACTCACGTTCTGTTACTCATTGATTGAAGATGGCATAAGCATGCCGAAACATGTCTCTCAAAAAATTTGTCTATTTCTTACAATATTTATCATACTAGCTACTACTACGACCTTATAGTAATATGAAATAATAAAAAAAAAATGATGGCTTTTCTTTCTTCTCTTTTTTTTTTTTTCGAAGATATCCATTGCTACGTGGAGATTAATCCTTCGCCCCCTGTGGTGGGTGATGGTGATTTATTCAATCTGTATCTTGTTACTTATCTACACATACCAGTTTGACAACATGCCAGTTTACTGGCATAATGCTACTGGACTGTCAGATCAATGGTAAGTGCAAACCTGTTGGCCTGTCTGGACAAGCAATGACTCCACTTTATCATTTTGTTATTCATTATTATTTAGCAACATCTTGTTTTCTGCAATTTGACCTTTGCATTATACAAAGAACCACTTGAAAAAGTATTTTTAGCAATGGTATACGACTTGTTTTAGTACTGACAATTAATCTGCATAACTTTATCCATACTATAATACTATGTAGACAATCTCCAACACTGGCAGTTCTGTCCCTAGATTGCTATTGCAAATTTAAAAAAAGTACTTGATTTATTTCCAACAACAAAGTGTCCCTCCCACAAGACGGCGAATGTTCTGTATTTAGAACTCCCGTCCTTATTTCTTTCTTTCTTTTTTCACTGGGCTGCTCGACTTGACCAAAATTTGCAGTGTGATAAGGGTGCATAATTATTTTAAAAGGAAAAATTTCCTTAGATTATGATTTTTGTTTGCTGCATTGTTCACCAACAATTAACGTTCGCCTATCGTCATCATGTTTCTTAACAGGTTATACAACCTTGGACTTCGTCAACATACAAAAGCCAGCCTTTTGTTAGAGCTTCTCACTCCTACAGCCTTTTCAATCATCATTGTTATACAACTTCATTTCTTCCATCGTCCGTTTCTGGCCATGATTGATCTAAAAGTGCGAAATAATTCTACCATGCACCACTCCTCCGCCAGAGGAGCCGTTGACCCATATGTTTCACCATCAACTTCTCAACAAGATGGTGCCGGGCCATCAGGCAGTGCTCGAGGGACTAGGCCGATTACCCAGAAGTCTTTATTGGTCGTGGCACTCATCAAGATAGTGAACTTTTACAATGACCTGACTGTGTTTCTTTGGAGGGTAGGGGAGCTACACATGTTGAAGCTTGTCAATTTGACGCTGATTTGTGTGGTGCTTCATCAGGTTAGAGTTCTGTTTTTTTACGATATTATGCTGATTGTAAGGTTAAAAGCTATTTCTTTTTGCGATTTTATTATCACTCTGAAACAGCGCAATAGTTCTCGGAAGGTATGCAACATGACTGAGGGAAGTGTGAAATACATAGTACATTATACATTCACATAAATGCAGCGGATAGTTTTTATCGCAACGGATATCTGAAAGGAGAAACAAACAAAGTGGATTCACGTAATCCTCCAATCACAACTTAAGAAAATCACCCTTAAAACTCCCCTGAAACAGCGCAGTAATGTGACATGATTGAGGGAGGTGTAAAACACGCAGTCCATGATAACTGCACAACTCCACAGTTCACACGTTTATGAAAAGTACCGGAAATTGGGGAATCAATCAAATGTATGGAAACTACTCTAACTTAAAGCTTTTTGCAGCCGCTTCCTTTAGACTGCGTTACAGTCTGAGACAGCTATCTAATCGGCCAGTCACCCACTCGGCGAAATAAGGAACAGAGGATTTTGAATGATCCACTCTCTTTTTGAAGAGAAATAGAAAAAAAGTGTTAGACTTAGTTAATAGTTAATTTGGTGATTTGTGCTGTTTCAATTTTCTGGTCTTTTTGCATACAAACACCAATTGTCTTTGTTTACCCGTCGTGCGTTATTTTCTTTTAGGTCTGTGCTATCAACGCAGTGATTATCATTCTGCTTGGTATCTCTATGCCATCGCATCTTCTTCAGAGAGCCTTATCTTACTGTTTTCTGATATGGAGCTCGCTTGTTATTCTAAGTAAAATGGTTTATCAGCTGAGATTTGTACAAGCCGACTTATTTCAACACAACTGTACAGACCAGGTAAGCTTGTGTGCTAGGAACAATAACGTTTGAAAGTAGCTGACGCCTTCTGACGCCGAATGAACTTGGGAGCGTAATCTTTCGTTGCAACGAAGAGGGAGTTATTTCAATGATACGAAAAAAGAAAAGCTATGATGCGCGAATATGAGCAAAAGTGTGGGCACGAGAGAAACGACGAGAGCAGGCAAAGAATAGAAATTGAAAAGCAGTTTCTTTGACAACAATAGCCGACGTTTGTCGCTCGCCCTTTCGACCCTGTCTTTTTGGTTGATAGCTTGGAACAGGCTGTGCTTTATTGTGAAAATCTTGTCAAGTATAGCTGGATTGAATCAGTCCGGCATAAAGTAGAGCTCGCAAAGTAGAGATTTCAAAAAGCATGTTTGGATCCTTTTTATCTTCCTGTTCTCTTTGTCCTCAGACCCTGCCTCGACCGTCCTCTTTTAATCATTTTATCAACAATGCATTGTGGGTTGGCTTTTACAAGACAGATAACATCTCAGAAGACATAAAGGTAATGAACACGTTTATCACTTTTTAATATATGCCCGAACTGATCATTACGCCCTCTGTCTCTATGACTGATTGTAGCCTAAGATCTATTAGCCCAGACGCCTCAGACCGACGTCTCAGAAAATTGTTTTGTCTGTCCTTTTTTTTCACAAGAGTTATAACCCTTCAGTTCCCATAGGTGACCAAAACAGAATTTCTCATTACTGTATCAATACAACATCAAGAAGATAAGTGATGAGAATTGAAAAAATTTATTAATCTGGGTATTATATTATTAGTTGATTCAATACCAAATTCTCCAAACTATCATCATAAGAATTGTATGGCAGACAGTAAGGAGAATTACTCATGAGATCTTGAGAGTGAAAGGGTTAAAGATGGTCTTGTTTGTAATATTTTTTTGTAGGGATACCTGCTGATCGTGATAGTTATTGTGTTGCACGCTGTCATCAAACATCATCAGGTAGGCGAAGGGGTTCCATCAGAAGAACACCTCTCTCCTTGGTTTCTTCTTTTGTTTACTTCATTTTGTCTTTCATTTGTTTGCTGTACTAATGTTTGCTAACCTGCTTAATGGATTGTCTCATGAACGTCCTAAATAAAAATCTTTTCCGACAGAAACTGTACCGTTGGAGAAATAATTTGAAAGAACCAGATGCCGGAATTTTGTTTCCGGGAATAACCAGACCCGATGCCGATGAAGGATTTGTGAATTGTATTAAATATTTGTTCAACAAATTTTTCTTCCACTTTGGTTGGGAGGTAAGTTTACGTCAAATCTTTATTATTATTATTATCAGTTATTAGGAAGTCTGATGCTGTATTTCACAATGTAGATCGCGCTGTAGATCGCGTTTTGACGGCTGTTTACCGCTTGTATCGGATGTAAGGCCAAGTAGAGATTTTTGGATATGCATGACTATCTTGTCACTGTTTTCAGGTTTGCTTAGTTATGATCGTAATAAACATGGCTGTGCGTTGTGACATCACTTCAGTGGTATATGCTATATGGCTAGGGACCTTTTTGGTACTGGGCCGACAGAACTGCTCGATTGTGTGGCCTGTTTATGTGGGCTTCCTGGCGGTGCTCCTTCCTCTGCAGTATCTTGTAGTTTTGGGATGGCCTCCAGCACTGTGCTTGGGTAAGAAACATAGTTCTTTTTGAGGATTAAACTTTATTTGAGGATTAAACTTTATCGATGGATTACTAGTATCGGTTCGTAACGCTGTCCTTAGTCTGTTAAAGTTAAATATCTGTTTTGTACTTCAGTGGTTTCAGTAGTTTCATTTTTGCTGCTCTCTAAACATTTACACCTCAATTTAACCGCCAGGCTATCTCCTTTTTTCATATTTCCATTTGGATTTATGTTTATCCTGAGCTGTAGTGTGAGAACCGCACTAAACCACAATGAACCTGGCAATAGCCTAACTTAGTAAAGACAGCTCTCTGTAGCTCGGTGGCAGAACATCGGAGCGTGGAATGCGAATATTTCTGGCAAGATCGTGCATTTTAATTCATTAAGCCGTTAAATCTGCTGTCTGGTGTTAAGACCTTTTATAAGCCGTGGTCAACTTGACTTGCTTAAATTGCCTTTCTTTGTGTGTACCTAAATAAATTTCTAAACGTGGCCATATTTTCCTCCCGATATAGCTTATCCCTGGACCAATGCGTTGAAGCCCAACCTCGTTCATTGGCTGTATTTAACCGATGTCAAGCTCCCTCCCGACCCTAAGTGTCTTTTAGGTAAGACTTAGAGTAAACTTCTTTTGTCGTGTGTCACGTTTGTTGGATTTGGCTTAACTTTCCTGTCACAATATATTTTTTTCCCTGAGACTGTTGCTTACTATTATCACTTTGTCGGGCAATGTGGCGTCTTTTGCGGGCTTAGAAGGAGATTTGGCAAGCTCAATGTATTTTAACCCGCTCGCATTCTTGGATGATTTTTGTTGTCATGTTTCATTTTTTGTGTGTGTGTTTTTTTTTGTTTTTTTTTATCTCAATACCCTCCAGATAGATAAAAATGATAATTCAGTTTATGTTCTTGGGCATAAATATGTTTTGGGCCCTTGTCAGAACTCTCGCCTAGCGGCTCGGGCCACAATGACTCTTCTTCATGCCCAAGACACTCATACCCACGAACATAAACTGTATTGCTCCATTACAATGGACGCTACTCTTTGAGGTTAACTGTCTGGTTCTTTTCCTGCTTGGGACATCGAAGTTTGCCTCGATTCCAATCGAATGACTTTTGACTGATAATGCGTGGTTTTATTTTCAGGTGATTTCTTCCAACTGCTATTCGCCTGTTGTCAAGAAAACGTGTTTTCTATCGAGCGTTTCAAACGATCAACTGAGCAAGCTTCTTCAGGTTCAGGTTTGAGTTCCAAAAGGCGAGGAAGCCGCGGAAAAACTGTCACACCAGACTTTATGTGGAATATAACTTGGCTCGACTTTGTTAAGGTAGATTTTTATTCATCTACTTGACGTTTTCTTGGATTA